CCATACTTTGAGACCCATTGGCCTATGGGGATGATCTACCCAATAATCTAGCCCAGCATTTCCCAAACTCTGCTGCATTTTGGAATCACTTGAGAATCTTTAAAAACAAATACTGATGCCTAGCTCCCAGGCCCTCACATTCTGATTTAACTCGTATAGGTGCATCCTGGGCATCATTATTTTTTTAAAAAAGAAAAAAAAAAAAAACTCCCCAGGTAATTCTAACACGCAGCAAAGTTTAGAAACCACTGGCCTAGCCTCACTTCTCCTGGACTCTAATCTTTATCACCACCCTCTACTTCAGCTGCCCACGCAGGGGCCACCAGTGGAACTGGCCATCCACCAGCACTGCTCGCAGCACTTCTTTCCAACCCACTTTCTCCCACTGTCTCAGAACATGTCCTTCTGAAGTCATCAAGTCTCTTACTTGTCTTCTCTCTTTTCATCCAGTCCTCCACCTCCTTCCCTATTCAACCCAGACCCTGTGGTACAGTAATTACTACAGCCGCCTCTTGCCCGCAGCCCATAGATCAACCCCCCTGTTCTTTCTTTGACGATCTCTACCTGGGAAAGTTGGAGGAGGAGTATCTAAATCAAACTACAGGCATGGAAGTCCAGGGAGTCTTCTTGAAATTGACGACACTTGAGCTGAGTTTTGACTGACAAGTAAAAATGGAAGAGGGCTTTTCAAGCAGGGTTACAGCATATACAGAGGCACTAAGGAAGGAAATAGTAGGGTTTACCTTGGGAACCACATGTTGTGTATGTTTGGAGCAGGTACATGGTCCTACAGTGTCAGGAAATAAGCTGCAAAGGTGGCCTCTTGCCAAATGGGGATGGTCCTTGGGCATCAAGCCTGGAGTTTACATCATCTTTACAAATATGAAGGGCAGTTGATAGGTTTTTAAATGCCTTTTAAATTCTAACATTAATATCTACTTATAGAAAATATGAAACAGCTAGAAAAACGTAAAGTAGAAAATAACAATCACCTTTAATCTAATTACCCAGAACTCACCACTATTAAGATTTTAGGGGAATTTGGCCTTTTCTTCTAAACATATTCTTACACGGTTGAGGGCATGCTGTATAAGTAAGTTTATATCCATCCTTCACATTTAACATTATAACGTCTACATATTTAATGTTTTTGAAATTTTGTAAATGTTTTAATAGAGCATAAAATTCTATCATATGGATGCCATATAATTTATTGAGCTATTCTCATACAGGTGGAAATGGGGGAGGGGGAGATTTTACTATTATAAATGATGCCACAGTGTTCATGTTTGTATGAACTTAGATTCTGTCACTGATTTCTTGTGATCGATACCAAGGAAGAAGTTAATGTATCAACAGTATGAAAGTTTAGACTCTTATTGTCAAATTTCTTTCCACAAAGTTTTCTGCCAGTTTACCTTCTCATCATAAGTGTGAGAGAATGTACATTCATCTTCTCTTCCCAGCACTTGGTGTTATGATGGGTGCCACTGAAGGATTTTTGGTATGGGGATGACATGAGCAGATCTGTGTATTTATAAAATTGCGTAGTGGAGGCTAACCTGAGCGGGCCAAATTGGAACTGCTCTTGTCCTCGCTGTTCCTCCTTTGCTTCCACATTCTCCTTTTTCCATTTTCCCATTCTTCATCTTTTTTCTTTCTTGAAGAGCGTGTATTAAGTGTTCGCTGCACCCGCAGCACAGCACAAGACTTTGTTACCAAGAGCAGTGCTGAAAGCCTTAGCTCTGTTGTGCCCAGCCCAGAAACCCTCTTTTAATAGTTCTGTCAAGAAAGAGTCTCTGGACAGTAATTCTCCTTAAGGAGAAATATTTTTTGTATTTCCCAATGAAGTCGCCAAGTGGATTTATTGCTAAATTAATTTCTTTCTGCATCCTGTGACTATCCAGCCCTACACATGATCATCCCTGTCTCTTGAATTTCCTTCCTCCTTCTTCTTAACCCAGCAAATTACCTTGGCATTCATCCTTCAAGACATTCCTTAAATGTCTGTGACACCTTCCTTCCATACCTTGCCTAGTTAGAATCAGTTACTCAAGCTTTCTTGTTCTTGTAGTTCAAATACAGCATTTTTCTATACCTAACTCTGTTTCTCCCTCTTGCCCAAGAGTCCTTCAAGAGTATAATATTTTGTATCCACAGTTTTTAACACAGTGTCTGGCACTTTTTGGCTACTAAGTAACTGTTGAATGAGTCAATGAATGAATTCCTGTTTGCGAAGGTGCATAGACATTCCATCTTAAATACTGAGTTGACTAGTGTAAAGACAATATGGAGCTAACATGAATTGCCAAAACCAAACTCTAAATTATTGGTACCTAAGGTAAAACAGACACCTGGTATACCAGATGTCCTGATCCTGGATTCTAAGTTCTGAACAGTAATTGTTTTGTGTGCCTAGACATTGACTTACACTCTGTTCTGTTTCATTTTAACTCCAGATTTAACAAATTCCCAAAGTATGTTCCAAAGAAAACCACCATGGACTGTTTATAGGTATCACACAAAAGAAGTCTTGTGGTCCAATAAGTTTGGGAAACAAAGTTAAAAAGATTTCTTTACATCAGGACTTCCTGGTAGGCATTCTAGGAAGTTGAAAGAAAGATCAGTTAGGCAATGGTAGGGCAACAGAAGAGCAGTCAAGTCTTCCCTCAGTGGAAGACAAGAGTCATCCTAGCCTCTTTATGCCGGGGAAGATTCAGAATACAAATTAAAAGGCACAATGGTAAAAAGTATGCCAAGATCCTAGCCCCTTCCCCTACATTTATCTCCTCTATCCCACGTTTGTGTGAGCTGCTGCCCCCCCCCCACCCCCCCCACCCACCATGCGGTTGAGATCAGCCTTCATTTACTTCTTTTCTAGAGCCAGGAAGCAAGGTAATGTGTGGGAAGTGATAGCTGCAAGGTAATGTGTGGGAAGTGATAACAACTTTAGAGTTAAAGCCATTCAACAGGAAAATCTGTTAAAAGACCAAGACATTGTAAAAGCTGAAACCCTTGAGTCTGTTAAGTCCCCTGCTTCTCAGAACATTTTGTTACCAGGGAATGTTTCAAGGAGGGAAAACATTGAAGTATCGCAGCACTATCATACCAAAGCCTGGTACAAAGAGCACCCTTTTATAAGACATCTGTCTCTCTGCCACAGGAGAAACTTCTAAAAAGTTCTGCTTCTCTTTTCTCCTCCTTTCTTCTACTCCAATATAACTTCCCCCGCCCTCCTCACCCCTAGACACACTCTATCCATTTCTCTCCTCCCTTCTCCTTCTCGTCCCCCCCCCTCTTTCTCTCGCCCCCTCCCCTCCTTCTCCTCCTCCTCCCACTCCTCTCCTTCTTATTCTTTTCTCCCTTGCTCTCTCTCTCTCATTCATAACCCACGTTGATTTCACAGACTGTTAAAAGGGCACAGTAAGGTGAGACTACCAAGGGTGATTCAACATTCTTTGGTAAGAAGGAAACTAATTAAGTGACTAGAGGTTTAGACATTTGTTGTTTATTGGACCAAACTCGTTAAGAGAGCCTGGAGCATTCTCCTAAACAAACTTTGCCCTTCCATGGCTTCTTGTTCCAAATCCAAATGAGATGGAGAGTTTAAGGAGACAATATCTTTTCACAGATGTGAAGAAAGGAGTGTCAGAGAAGGAGAATGGGAGTGTCGATAGATGTAGAGGGGAAAAGCTATGTCCCTGTCACAGAAAGACTAATGCAATTTGCGAATCTGGCAGCTGACTCCATCAGCGGTCATCGGTAGGTTAGACTGTAGCAATGTTGACACACATTTGTGGTCAGCCCAATGGCTTGTTTAGCTGTCTTCATTAGAAATACATCCATCGAGAGCATGTTTTTTAAACAATAGTTAGTCTTCTAAACAAAAAAGTATAGACAAACCCAAATATCTCCTCGCCAATCTTAACTAACACTATTACCGTATACTAGGAGGCACCTTAGAACACAGAAGCCCTCTGATAAATAAACAAAAGCATTTACATAGACACAATTTTCTAATGTGTGGATATTAAAGGGTGTTAGTGATTAGCCACAACCCATGAGAAAAGTGCCTTTGCCTTAATAGGCAAAGGAATAGAAGCTTTTTAAAAATCTACCTTTTAATCTTGCTTCTGTTTTAAATAAATAAAAGTTGTGTTGTAAAAGTGAGTCTTGGGCCCAACCTCAAACCTTAATCCTGCCATTGCTTTCACAAGAAATGGGGCAGGCACGATCCAAGCCTTAGAAACTCAAAACAAAAGGGACCTCTTCTAGGTGCTGAATCAGAAGCCACTGCCACTGTGGGAGGCCATCAATCCTATGTGATTCTGAGCCTGAGACTCGTATTTTCTGCCCCTCTTTTAATACTGTGGACCCAGAATAATCTGGCATAGGTGAAATATTCTTTTCCTTGGCTCAGATGAGGCACCTGGTGTCCTGAAAGAGGTCACTGATTTCCCCAAGGATGTCCAAGGAGCTTGGCTCACCACTGGTTTACCACAAGCCAAATTTGAGGTTAATTAACTATCAGTCATCATCAGTGGGGCCAAGATGTTATTCAGACATTCAGAGAAGAGAAACTTGATCCAGCTATGAATAATAACCTTCATCAACATTCCTTCCTATCCTAATCCCAAACCAATGTGTCTTTAGCTGCACTGGGGGTTTGAAAATTATTTCAGAAATATTTGCTTCATCATTTATGTTATTCTGCATTTGAAGAGGTTTCTTGATTTGCGAACCTATTCATTGGATGCATATTAATGCTCTGGATCAAAACCTTATTTCACTAGAACTGGGTTTCTCTTCATGAGAAGGTACATTTATTGACCTTTGAGGAAATTCCCTACTTGGAATAAGAATGAAAATTCTGTCTGGTGGGAGATGAAGGGATGTTAACAGATCTGGGTTGGCCATCTAAGGACCAGACCTTCTGGCCAGAACCAGGCTCAGGAACAGAGAGATGTGTGTGCACTGCTTTTGCTTGTCTGTCTCTGCAGACCTCAGTGACCAGCTACTTGAAGTGGTGGGGCTCGAAGGAGCCATGGAGATGGGGCAGATCTACACTGGCCTGAAGAGTGCGGGCAAGAGGCTGGCCCAGTGCTCTTCTGTCACTATCAGGTATGCTTCCTCATTACCCAGCAGCCTCAGACTCTCCACACCTCCCTTAATATTCTTACAGACAACAACTAGGAAGCCATCTTTGGATTTCAGTGCAGGAAGAGGGGGATAGAAGCTTGACACCATTTATAAACAATGTCTTTGGAGATCGTTTCCCAAACTGGATATAATGGAGCCATCCAGGACATCAACTAGAGGGTCCACTGCAACCAGTTTGCTGTTCTCTTAGAATGAATTGGTGAAAGTCTCTAAGCAGGAGTACAAGATTATGAGGTCCAGAGGACTGGAGGTCCAACTCCTTGCCTTTTTTATCTTTACAAATTAGAATGTTAAATGTATACCAGAGGACACACTCTGACAAAACCCCAGTTCTCTGCTCTGTTCTGCTCTTTCTTGGATAGTGGCCTTAGAAATACTATTTCCTATATGCCTTTGTAGAGGTAAACCATCAACATCAACAAACCTGTCCCAATTGACTAAGAAGATGATGATTTTTTAGGGGGTGGACCACACAGGTCAGCCACTAAAGGCTCCTGGAAGAGACGAAGTCGAATGGAGGGATGCTCTGGTCTTCTCCACCCGATTATTTCAGAAGTCTGTACTCCTTTCCTTTTTCAATTCAATTTCTACAGATCAAATCTATTAGTGTGCCTTAGGAATCTCCTAGAGGGGACCACAACATGCAGGTTTCCCAAAGTTATTTGACCACAGAACCCTTTTCTCCCAGAACCTCTTGAGCAAGTGTCCTCAGAGCACATTCAGGGAAACACTGCTCTTGGCGCTGCTCTGCATCCCTCAGAAAGGTCCCCAGAGCTGGTTCCTTGATGTCTCTTGCTGAAGGTCTATCCCACCAACCCCTTTTCTTCGTTCCCTCTCTGTGTCTTCTCTGTCTCTTCTATTACTCCCCAAAGCTTTGCTCCTCCTTCTCTCTGGGCTGTTGTGCCGGGGCTTCTGTTTTCCAGATTAATCTCTGTACTTCCTTTGCTGTGCATTCTCTGTGTCTCTAACACTGAGTAGATCCAGTCTGTTAGCACATCCAAGTCATAACTTATATAGACCACAGAGAACATAACATCTTGATCCCAGAGGAATCAAAAAAGCCATGTATAAGAAGGAGGACTTTCTCTTCATATTCAGTAGACCTATTTCTAGATAGAAACAGAAGGGGTGAGCCAGGAGCCCCATCCTCCTGGGCATTTCCCAGATACTCTCCTAAGCCCCAAGAACCAAAATGCCACTCTCTCCTCTCAGTGTTTGTTTTATTATTAAGCTTATTGTTTTTATTATTAAATATCCTCAGGGTCAGTCACAGAATCATCAACATCAAACACAGCTTGCCTCCCTCATTTTATAATTTGAAAAACAGGGCAGATGCCAAACCCAGTGAGGGCTTCCTGGCCAGTGGGTGGCAACTGTTCCCTGCTCACCCAGACCAGAGGCCTCCTACAAGGACCTGCCTTTTCTCCCAAAGGCGATGTAGTACAAATTCACAACTCTTCTACAGAAGGAAGTCAGAAGACCTCATTCCTTTCTTTTTTAGAATCTGTATGCCAGAGAAGCCTTATCCCAAGCAAGAAAACAACACTTTCTTCTCTCTTCTCTTACTCATGGGGACAGAATTCCTGAGGATCCCATTTCCCAGCTAAGCCAGGTCCACAGTCCATGCAACCATAGAGTGTACTGTTGTTCAAGAGATAAAAGAGGGGATGTTAGGGTGGAGGCAAGGCAAGACACACTCAGACCTGAGCTGTACCTTGTATAGATTGGAGACGTTACCTCATTGACGTGACGCAACCTCTCACTCAACAGAAAAACCAGGCCTTTTCCCGTTTCATAATCCTTCCCATTTCATAGTGGAGTTTTTGGCATGATCCGCAGGCCCTTTGGCTAATTGTTTGACTGAGGGTCTGCTAAGTGGTGTCATACTTGTTGGCCACTGTTTTCTAGACTTCTATGAACTTCACTGCTCACCCAAGGCAGCATTTCTCAAAGTAAAGTCTAAGGACCAAAGCAACAGAATCACCCATAGTGCTTATTAAAATGCAGTCCCCTGGGCCTATAAGCTACCAAGTCAGAATCCCTGAGATGGGCTCAGAAATCTGTTTTTAACAAGCCCCCTAGAAGAGTCTTAGAGAACCACCCCTAGGTAGGAAGATAGGTCTTCCCATTTCTGTTTCCCTGTTGGGAACAACTCTGATTCTCTGACTCCAAGAAGCTCACTGTGTTCTCTCGGTTCTGGGGGTTCCAGGACGAACAAGCTGCTGCCGATGCAAGTGGATGGAGAGCCCTGGATGCAGCCACCATGCACGGTGAGTTTTGCCAATCTTTGAGCTGAGGACAAGAAGCTTTACTTTTGGCTCCTTTTGGGCACTGACTTCATATGAAATCACTGAATCTTAGAGCTGCAGGGACTTTGGGAGATCATCTAGTGCAGCCTCTCTTCCATTTCGTTCATCCATCCATTCATTTACCTGCTAAGCTTTTATTGAATACCTGCCATGTGCCGGGCCCTGGGAGGCACCAGTTCCAAAACTGAATGACAGATAGACCTGTCTTCAAAGAGCCCACAGTTCTAGTTGGAGAATTCTGAGACTTCATCTACAGTATCTTTGAGAGTCCCAGGGCTCTCAAGTGGCAGGGATCTTGCCACCCCAAGAGGAAGTGTTGTTCTGATGAACAAGCCTAATTGTTAGAAAGTGTTTCCTTATGTTGAAGCCAAATCTTCACACTTACCCCAGAACTTCCACCCAGTGGCGGTGACCCCCCCTGGAGTACCTGGGAGAGAATTGCCAGAGTGCACAGACACAATTCACCACAGATGTACCCACAGCCCTGAGGACCTACCTGAATACTCCACTGAAAGGGTAACCACACAAGTTATCTGTTTTGTTTATGGCATTATCACCCAGCACCAGCACTGTGCCTGGTTTGTAACAGCTACACAGTAATATTTGTTGAACAATGAGTAAAGGATGGAACCAATGAACAGACAAAAATAAAGGGAACATCTCCATGCCCTGACTCACCATAGCTATGTGAGCTCTCCATTTAGCACTGCTCCAGGAGCCAGGCATCCTTCCTTCTCAGTTCCTTCTCAGAAACCCAGCTGAAAACTCTGGTGAAGAGACACCGCTGTCCTGGTGTTCAGGGCCCAGGGTACTCACTGGGATATTACATTAGCACTATCCCCAATACCATCGTGAATGTGCAAATCTCAAAAGACAAAAGTAGTGTTTCTAAGCTTCCTCGCTCTGGTGGAATATTCAGATATCTCAATGGCCTGCTATTTTGAGCCCTTCAGAACATCAAGTTTTCTTCTGCTAAAGAAAGGTTTTCACACGATTTCTACTGGGCCTGAATTATAGGTGTATTTCTATAACTCTTTGTTCCATGTAACTTCTACAAATTATAAAACGTCACTTCCACAAATATAAAACTTCTACAGATTATAAAATTATAATAAAAAATATAAACCTTCTACAAATTACATAGATTATAAAACAAGTTACAGAGACAAAAACTCTAGAGATGGCATCTTCTATAAAGGGTATCAAAAGTAGAAATTTTTCTGCAAAGTCTTACCTCAATCTTCTGGCTTCTTTGAAAACTAAAAAAAAAGAGAAAACACACTATAGCAAAAACTAATAAAACCTTACCACCTTGTTAGAATGAGGAAGGATGGAAGAAATTTCTACCACTTCTTTCATTTTTTTTTTTTTTTCAAAGATTGGCACCTGAGCTAACAACTGTTGTCAATCTTTTTTTATTCTTTTCTGCTTTTTCTCCCCAAATCCCCCCAGTATATAGTTGTATATTTTAGTTGTGAGTCCTTGTGGTTGTGGCATGTGGGACACCCCCTCAACGTGGCTTGATGAGCGGTGCCATGCCCGTGCCCAGGATCCGAACCAGTGAAACCCTGGGCCACTGAAGCAGAGCTCGCGAACTTAACCATTCGGCCACGGGGCCGGCCCCTACCACTTATTTCAATGGAGCTGAACTGAGAAACATCTATCCAAGCTCCTCCTGTCTCCTAAAAAAAGGACTGGAAGAAATCAAACCTTCTCTCCCTGGTTCAGTGATATCTGGAAACCAGATTGCCATTCCTCTGCATACAAGCCCTGGTTTTTGAAATAGCTGAATACTACTCCTGTCCCCACCCCCATCCTCTGTCCTGCCTCCCTTCAGAGATTACAAGTCACTATGACAAAATTTGCGATCCAATGATTTGATTGTATATGGTCCATGGAAACCGTATGGAAAGATGTCAGTCTGCTCGGGCCGCCATAACATAATACCACAGACTGGATGGCTTAAACAACAGAAATGTATTTTCTCACAGTTCTGGAGGCTGGAAGTCCAAGACCAAGGTGCTGGCAGGGTTGCTTTCTGGCAAGGCCTTTCTTCCTTACTTACAGACAGCCACCTTCTCACTACGTCTGCACATGGCTTTTCCTCTGTGCATGAGCACTCCTGGTTGCTCTTCTTAGAAGGACATCAGTCCAGTTGGACTAGGGCTCCATACTTACGACCTCACTTAACCTTAATTACTTCCATAAAGGCCTATTTCCAGATGCAATCACATTGGGGGTTGGGGCTTCAACATATTAATTTGGGGGAAACACAATTCAGTCCACAACGGAAGGTCAAAGAAAGTCATTCTTAAACTTGCAAGAGTTGAAACAAAAGTACCCTGGTTGAAGCATTTTCCTAAAGGTGCACACCAACTCAGAAGTGATTCAGAATTAAAGACTTAATGACGGGACATCATAGAAACTTTGGTTAAAATCGAAACCAGTTAAATTAGAAGGAAGTAAAACACAAATAGTTAAATATGGTTGACTAAATGCAAATGACAAAAATCACTCTTTGAATGAGAAGATATATAATGTAAACATTAATAACCTGGATCCCCAACCAAAGGTTATATTACCAAGGCTGAGAACATGTGGGAGACATTGCTGAAGGAATAGTAAAAATATGCTAAATATTTCATTGTTTCTCCTCACTTTGATAATTAAAAAATATAAATCGGAAGAAAATTTTAATAACTAGGTAATCACTGGTGAAACTAAAAACAAGGCACACACCTTTCAAATCTGGGAGAATTTAAAATTTGTTTAATGTAGCACAAGCCAGAAAGCAAATAAACAAACATGTAAAAAATTTTTGAAACAAGATGAAAGACGTTAAGAGTAAGATTGATAATAATGACAAAAAACATAAATGTGTTAAAATCTCCTATAAAAGAACAGTACTCTCATGTTGGATTAAAAATTAAAATCCAGTGACATGCTTCTTGTAAGAGATACACCTAAAACAAAGGTGTGTAAATAAACAGGTGTATATGTAAACAGGTGTTTAAAACAAAAGGACATATGTATCTTTTAGTTTATTCTTTATCAAGCATAGAGAAATTAAAAGTAAGAAATGATATTGTTAACTATATTAATTTTAGGCAAATTAACCTTCCAACATGCCAAAGCATAAAGTGGAATAAAGAAGGTCATTTTTTATTTGGTAAAAAGTACACTCAGAGCCAGCCTTAATGGCCTAGCAGTTAAAGTTCCGTGCTCTCCGCTTCAGTGGCTGGGGTTCATTTCTTGGTCGTGGAACCACACCACTCGTCTGTCAGTAGCCATGCTGTGGCAGTGGCTCATATAGAAGAACTGGAAGGACTTACATCTAGAGTATACAACTATGTATTGGGGCTTGGGGGAGGGAAAGAAAAAGAGAGGAAGATTGGCAACAGATGTTAGCCCAGGAAGAATCTTCCCCAGCAAAAAAAAAAAAAAGTACGCACAATTATGAGGTGTAATAGTCATAAAATTTTAGTATCTAATAACAGAATCACAATATGTACCATGAGAAACAGCATCAATACATATTCTGAGAAAAAAAATAGATATATAAGAAGTTGACAAAAAGACAACTATTGAGAGGCTTTAAAATATTTGTTTCAGGGGCTGGCCCTGGTAGCATAGTGGTTCAGTTTGGCACCCTCTGCTTCAGTGGTCCTGGTTCTCGGACTTGGATCCTGGGTGCGGACCTAGACCACTTGTCAAGCCATGCTGTGGCGTGACCCATATACAAAATAGAGGAAAATTGGCACAGATGTTAGCTCAGGGCTAATCTTCCTCAAGGAAAAAGAGGAAGATTGGCAGCGGATGTTAACTCAGGGCCAATCTTCCTCATCAAAAGAAAATAATATGGGGCCGGCCCAGTGGTGCAGCAGTTAAGTGCACACGTTCTGCTTTGGCAGCCTGGGGTTCGCCAGTTCAGATCCCAGGTGTGGACATGGAAGTCTTATCCAGTGTAGTATCTCTGAAGCAGAAAAGAAATATAACTATTTGCAAAAGAGTCAAAACTGTCATTATTTGCAGATAATGTGATTATGTACATAGAAAGCTAATATAACCAACTGAAAAAATCTCATAGATTAAATTACTTCGGTGAAGCCCTACAGAAAGATAAACAGGCAAAAGCTAATAGCTTTTCTATATACCAGCAATGACCAATCAGAAGAATATAATACAAAAAAGTTAAAATATCACAATAGCGACAAACAAAAACTAAATCCTAAACTGAATGGTGAAAAATAGGTGAAGTCTGTAAGACTTAACCAATATAAAAAAAAGAAGACTTGAATTTAGAAACATCCATATTTCTAAATAGGGATCCCAAAAGAAATCCCAATGTAATTGTTTTTTTAACTCGACAAAACACTTCAATAGCTAAGGCATTTTATGGAAGAACTATGAGGAAAGACTTCCCACAGATATTAAAATAATTATAAAGCCACAATAATTGGCAGAATATTGGATAGATAAATCAATTGTACAAAAGAGAGCCCTAAGAAACCCTAGTACACATAAAAACTAATGAAGAAAAAAGAAAGATCATAAACTAATTTGAAAGGAATGGACTGTTTAACATATGGTATCCTGGAAGCTGCCTGTTTGGGAAAATGTCGTTATATACCAACCTCTCACCTCAAACTACACTCCAAAAACAAAAACAAAAAAACTCCAATTCAATTAAATAATTGTTACTAGTAGGGGGAAAAATAAATGACTATAATCACACTGTGAGCATGGGCTTTCTAAGGAAAAAGTGACATATTTGACTATTAACACATTTTAAATGCTACAAGTCAAGAATCAATATAAATATTTGAAAGGCTAAGGACAAGATGTTTGCAGTAGTGATCTCAAAGAGCAGGTTAATTCGCATAACGTATACAGAGCTGTTAGAAACCAGCAAGAGAAAATACTAACAATGCAGTAGTACACAGACAATTCAAGGAAGAAATGCCATGGACTAATAAAGCTGTGAAATAATATTTAATATCACAAGTTAAGAAAAAAGTAGGGGGGAGAATTTCAAATTAATATAGTGATAAGTCCATGCCACGTTTCACTTATCAAATTAGCACACTTTGTTTTTCTTTTTAAGATAACATTCATTGCTGTCAAGTGTGTGGTGAGGCCAGCACTCCCAGTGATGCAAGAGCATAAACTGGTACAGCTGTTCTGGAAAGCATTTGGAGCCATGTATCAAGAAGAACCTTACAAATATTAATATACATTGATCCAGTTCATTTTCTTTGACCCTTAAAATTTTGTTCATTGTACTTCTAAAAATTTATTTTAAGTAAAATACAGATTATCAGTAATACAGACAGAGACTGATGTATAAGAATGTCAATTTCTATATTATTGATAATAGAAAAAAGTGGGGGAAAAAGCTCAACATTTAGGGAAAAGGTTAAATAAGGTATGTGTAATTCATCAAATGGAATAATTTTCAGCTATTGAAAATCATATTTAATTACATCAGAAATGCTTATAAAATAATGTTAAATGAAAACAGGAGATTAAGAAGGTGATTTCAATTTTATTAAAAACATATAAGCATAGAAACAAACTGAAAAAATGTATACCAAAAAGTTACCAACAGTTACCTCTAGGTAATTTTTAAATTTTTCCATATTTCCTAAATTCTCAAAAATGAACATATATTTGTTTATACATATAAATATATGTATATAAAGTATATATTATTAAGAAAACTTGCCTTGTGCTTGCAGTACTGTAAGATGACCTCTTATGCTTCACCGCCACAGTTAGGTGGCATAATTTGAGCCTTAAAATTGAGAATCTTCTTCTCCCAGAGTAAGATAAGAGTAGGATCTCAAAGTTGAAAGGGATTCTAGTTATCTAGTGATTCCCAAACCTGAGTATGGATCCAAATAACCTGGAGGACTTTTAAAACACAGATTGCTGGGTTTCTGATTCAGTAGGTCTGGATACCTGAGTATTTGCATTTCTGACATGCTTCCAGGAGATGCTATGCTGCTGGTCTAGGGACCACACTTGGAGAACCAATAATCTAGTCAAACTTCCCAATTTATCAATAAATCCCACATTTCTCCTCTACCCCTAGCAAAACCCGATTGTCCAGCTACATTTGAAATCCTCTGATGGCGGGAAACACTCTCATGAAGCAGAGCATCCTAAAACCTTGGAGAACCCAGAAGTAGCTAAGACCTGAAGGACAGCACAAGCCCCCTCCCTTCTCCCCTAGCTCACTTTAAGCAGGACTATTTCCTTAACTTTTTAAAATATCGCAGAGACTGCTTGAGACTTTTCAGGTTTGTCCCTTTCTGTTTATCTCCAGCTGAAATTAGGGCGGACTCAGCACTCCCCGAATGATTTGGGAAGGGTCCACACTTAGTTATCGGCCATTTTGCTGGGCATAATCTGAATCATTTGCCCTGAGAGGATAATGTTCAGGAAGGAGTCCCTCAGTTTATTGCTTCTCTTAAAGTAATAAAAATGTGTTGGTTTTTGGGAAAGGGCTCCCCAAAACAAAGTCAACCCCTCGCACTAGTGAAATTTTACAATATACTCCATTTTAAAGGAGAAATTATATGCTGCGGTACTTTTGTGAATTTTGAGCTATCACACAACCGTCTACTGTATCAATTCTCTCCGTAATAGAGCAGAAAAGTAAGAACATGGGGCTACTGTCCTTAGTGCTTGTCATATGTTGTAAATGTCATGAAAAGTTTCTAAGAAAACCATAGAGACTTTAGTTAATTGCCTGAAGTACCCAATTACCAGAGAAGTTTGGGTTCTAACCACAGAAATGTAAGATGCTCTCTTTCCATCATGGGTAGAATAGGCAAGTTTAGCCACATCCAACTACCTCCTAAAATGGAATTTTAACTATTTAACCCACTAACCCTTCCTAATTTGGGGACAAGGGAATAAGAGAGTGACACCTCTTTGACTCAAAATGGGAGTATGATCTCATGCTTCTTGCCTTCAGTGTATGTCCATACAGTGAGCTCTCAGTTATTGTAGTACTAGAATCCACAAACCACATCAGAATCTCATGTTACCCAGGAGTTCCAAACTTCTACCCCATCAAGACCTATGTCAAAACTGCTGAAAAACCAAATGGGAGGGATTTGAGTTTCACTTCCTCCTCTTTGCCCTGGAAGGGCTAACAAGCAAATAAATTGCTCAGCTATAGGGAGAAAAAGGAGAAGCAAGGGTCTTCTATCGTCTAAAAAAAATAGGCTCCATCAGCGGGAAATGTAGGCAGCGCACCAGCTGCCGCTCTCTGCCCCAAGCACAGCCATCTCCACTGCCGGGACATTCTCTCTTTCTTCTTGGTTGGACTAATCACTCAATACTTCCACAGCATGTGCTCTGAATGGGCGCTGTGCTGGCCCAGAGAATACCAGGGTGAGTAAGATGAAGTTCTTCCCCTCAGGGGGCTCACATGCGTGGGGGTGAGAGCAGGCTTACCCCAAAGAAATGTGCCACAAATCACTGTCATTAGATAGTGCTAAGTTACACGCCACAGGTAAGTGCTGTCAGAGTCCCCAGTCTATGCCTCACTTCCGTGAGTTCCAGAACAAACATAATACCCATGATAAGGCATGTAACACAAAATGGTGTTTGATGGGTTCTTGGTTTGCTCCTCTGGTTTACTCCACAAAACAGAAAGACTTATTCTCCTTCTAGATCTCTGGGCTGGTAGAAGCCAAAATAGAGTCATTTCCAGCTTCCTTACCCAGGTTATGCTAATTCTCCACAATGTCTTTTGGTCCCATCTTTTTCCTTCCATATCTTGGGGCCTTATAAATTTAGACCTGGTTTGCATTAGTACCCTCTTAACCAGACTTTCCACCACCCCAGCTCACCCTGACAACAGCTGTTGAATAATTTCCCTCAAACTCTTTTTTTTCATCATGTTATTCTCCAGCATAAAAAGCTATCATGGTTCCCCATTACCTCTCATTAAACCCAATCTCTGCCGCCTCCCCTTTGAAACCCTAGGTCAGCTGCCCCACCCATAACCCTGACCTCATTTCTCATCCTTTGCCCCAAACTCAACTAGCTCATACATGGCCCCTCTACCCAGTGCCTTCCCTCTCTTTTCACCAACACTTTTCCTGCCATTCCTTTCAAATCTTAAAATTCCTCCTCAATTGCTCCTTTCAGATTCTTCTCGTTCCTTACCTAACCTCTTCTTGACACCACTCAATTTATCCTACATTAATTTAAACTTTTGATGGGTCTCTCTCTCCAAGATTTCTTCTCTTATTCTCTGTGGTCACACTGTCAGTTCCAATAAAGTGGTAAAAGCCATGAAAATGGGCTCATAGATTCTGTTTCTTTTGACAGACATCTTTCTCTTCCTCCAATGTAAGATAACAATTATTTAACTGTTACATTCCATTTTACAATGGGCCTTCATTGACTGTCTATCATTTGATCTTCACAACCACTTTGTGAGAAAAATAGGACAAATGTTATTATCTTCATTTGGAAGTTAAGCAAGCATTGGTTTTGCAGGTTAAATGATTTGTCCAAAGGTTCACAGCAAAGAAGTGGGAGTTCTAGGACCCAACCCCAGGTCTTTGAATCCTAAGTGCCACCACCAGGAAGATGGTGTTGGAACACCATCTTCCTACTCTGAACATATGGCATACTTGATAAATGCCGATGGACTGATAATGCAGATTATTAACTTGGCAGTGTCACCGTGCCACATTCAAATAGGGATTAAACATCTTTAAGTCAATTGGAAGTGAAAGACACTGGTGAATTCTCATTTTTGCCTTTCTTCCTAACCTGATCCCCAGAGCATAGCTTCAAGTTTGCATGAGAAAATACTCATACAACCTAAATTCAAAAAATGCATATGCTTTTAAAAGAAAGTTGAGTCTTTCCTGGAAAGCTAAGAAAAGAGGAAACACCTAAGAGACTCACTTTCAAACTCTCCACATGATGTTGCTTGGGTCAGAGATCAGACTGAAGCTTCTAGGTCAACTTCGAGTTACTGGTTGACATCTCTGCACTGCCTCAGCAAGAATGGCTAGGAGCAGTGGAGGCTGGGAATCTGAAGAACTGGGCTCTAGCTGTTCTGCCCTTCTCTGTGTGACCTTAGGGTAATCTAAGACTCAGCAGAGCCTTGGGCCTCTGTTCCTTTATCATACAGAGGGGTTGAATGAGATGGTCCCTGAGGTCTCCTCTGGCTGTGACATTCTGAGTCTATGAATAGCAAGGACACAAGACAGGTGCGAGCTGATCACCACGTGGGAAGCTCACACCTGTCTCTCCCCAGTGTTTCCGCCCCTCACTTCCAGCAGTGCCAAACTCTAGGCCCATTCAGGGTCCAGTTGCCAATTTTGAAGCTGTTCAAGGACAGTCGTCCTTCTGCATGGGGCTTTTTCCAACCCGAAGCTGGCCTTCCTTCCTCTCTCTGCAACTCATTCTCCCATAGGCTACTGGGGTTTGCATGCCACTAATTCATTTCTGCCTCTTTGCTTTTAGATTAAAATTACTCACAAGAACCAAGCGCCCATGATGATGGGACCTCCCCAGAAGAGCAGCTTCTTTTCACTGAGGAGGAAGAGCCGTTCAAAAGACTAAACAATGTGCCAAACACCAGTTAAACCAAGAGATAAAACAAGAAACTGTAATACACACACACACACACACACACACCCCTCTCTAACCATTGGAAGCAAAGCCACCCTTTAGGAAGAATCCTTCACCCTGACATACATTCTATTTATTTCAACAGTGGACACAACCCACCAGAGCCAGTGCCAACAGAACATTTTGAATGGACTTAGGGCCCACCAGGGTGAGGCTGGCTCATGCAGCAACCTCCACATTCCCAGCCTTGAGTGGGACTTTCTGAGACTGAAAGAGAAATCCCCCTTTCTTCCCACCAGTGCTGCAAGTTTCCTCATGAACATTCGCAAGGAGCAGGCTGCAGGTTTCCTGCCTATGGTGAGATCGGATGTGGCCAAGGAAAAGAACTCCTGTTCCAGAGAACTTGCACAAAGGTCCCTCTGTACAGAGACAAAACAGCCTCCGACTCTCAGAGCAACTCCCTTGGCAGGGCTCAGCAAGCGCACGTTGGTTTCTTGGTTGTCCTTCGAGTGACAATTTCTCCCTGAACTCGCTGAGGAGGCAGAAAGGCTGTGGAAAGCTGTGTTTCCATTCTTGGTTCTCTGCGCTGTCAGTGGGCACTTGTTATTTTTCCCAAAGCCTTCTCCCAGTGGCTGTGTGTTTGTTTAGAGACGGCTCCAGGAGGGCCCAGCGCTGCCTGCACAGCACACCTTAGATGTGGTATTTATTTTCTTAGTTCTGTGAACACCTGGGAGGGAAAGCAGAGAAACTGGGATTTATTTTTCAAATTGGTGTCATAATATTGTGTAAAAAGGGAAGAAAAAAAAAAACACCCCCAGCTTCTTTCTTTTTCAAGCCAAAGCGTGTTTCCTGTTTGAGTTCCAAGCCCTGGTGGCAGACTATTCCTGAAGGCAGAGAAGATGGGAGGGAAGGGCCTTTTGCTAAAGAGCCCAGGAGGCAAACCATCAGGTGGTTCCCTCCTGCCTCTCTGCACGTACCACTCCCAGAGTAGACCTGAATGCCCTTCTGATGGTCTCAAGTGTGTGTACATATATATAGCATATATATTTATATATATATAAATATTTATTTACTGATGGACTTTTCCTGATTGAAAAAAAATTATGTAGTATAGGAACAGAAATTGAGAAAGAAAGAGAAGGTTCTTACTCCCAATTCCACCATTTCATTGCCAAGATACATTTCCCCATGGCAATCATGAGATTTAAGGGAAATGAAAGTAGCTTCTTCTCATAAAGAGACTGAGAATTTCTATTCTGGATTCTCAAAAAAACCATGAAAGATATGCTGGGCAGGATTTACTCTCCCATTTGTCAGATAAGGAAACTTATCTTGGAAAAGCTAAGAGACCTGTTCATGGTATCTTGGCTAATGTGGTTTGGGAATAAGTGCCACTAAGATATTTAATAGAGAAAAGAATCCATTCATCTTGGAATAGGGGCATTTCCGGTCACTGAGAAATGTTTCCATTTGGATCCAGTTGCCAGGGAAGAATGAATGTGCAGCACATATGTGATTGGGACAGGCCCACATGAGAAAACGGAGGCCTCGTGATGCTTCCTAGAGATTTTCTCTGGCCTGAACTGGTGAGAAGTTGGTCTGGGGTTGAAGGCACTAGACAGATCATTAAATTAAACTCTCCCCATGTCAACTCATCATGGCCATCATAGTCTCTTTGTCTGGAAACACCTTTGGCTGCAGGGATGACCTCAATGGAGAGTTACAAGGAGGACTAAGGCCCCTTCTACGAGGTGCTGCCAGCCCGTATCCAGAGGGGTCTCGGCAGAGCTCAATGGGCTTCATTCAGCTGGTGCCAACATTACCCTCCTTTCCCAAAGGCAAGACTGTGTAGGGCTTCATTGGTAGAAAGAAACATTTGCCTCAGCACCTTTGCTCCCTCAGGCCTCCATCCTCTCTGAGATTTCTCAAGAGGAAACCTGGGCCCACTCAACATCACTCCACTGAGCTCCCCCTGATCTTGTACTGGGTCATCAGGAGCTTTGCACAAAGAAGGAAAAATTAAGATTGTGTATGCATATTGATCCTAACTCTGAAGGAAGCAGTCACCTAGGACGTTTAGGACGGAGATCTAGGACCATCCTACTCAACCGAACTGTGCAGAACACTGGGCAAGGGGAAAGCCAGGCCACCTGAAGAATGTCCTGAATGACGGGATCCTTGGCAATGGGACCAACAAGCTCCAGAATGGCGACAGGTACTGTCTTGGAAGCCACTTGATTCTGAAATGAACGCAGGTTCAGCTTTGGGGTCACTGATCCCAAGACATTTACAGAAGTTTTTGCCTGTGTTTCAGCCCTGATCCCCAAGATTGAGGCTGTTGAGACATGGCACTATCAACAGGTGAAACTGGATCTCAGAGATTCACAAGTCAGAGACTGGCCCCTGCCTGCTCTGCTCTAGCGCATAGGACTTGCGGTGTTGCTTGAGAGACATGTGCCAAGTCTTCCTTAGAGCCACAGAGTGTAACAAACTTCGGTGAAATTGCACTTCCAATTTGGTAACCTCAGTAAGTCTAGTTTTGTTGTTTAATCTGACCCTACAACTCATCCCTTAACTGCTGTGACTGTGGTTTCTTACTGTAGCGTACCTCATCACAGTGGTCCTCTCAGCAACCTCTGAGGTTGGCAGAGAAGGTACTACTATCCTCATCTTAATAATGAGGAAAACCAGGCTTAAGAAGGTTTAGTGACTTGTCAAAGTCACACGGTTAAGCAGTCAGGAGAGAATCCAGACCCTCATTCCTCATGTTATTCTGATTCTGACCATGCCACAGAGGTGTTCTCACCTGCCCCCGCGCTTCTACCCCACTAGCAATAAAAAGAATGAAACAGGAAATCTTCAATACATCATGCTGTCCCTGGGCTAATGGGCTAGGAGTTGTGCCTCATTATGGCTTGGTCTTTGTGGGTTTCCTCCAGTGAGTTGAGAATGGAGATAAACTTAGTAGGATGATTATATTTCAGGTCAGAGACCAGCTCCTCTCATGAGAGTTTTTCCACAGATGGAAAAGATATGTTAAAATTGCCAAATAAATTAGGAAATACTTGGCAGAACTTGGAAGAGCCTCCAGACTGGCATTACATAACGTGCATATACATTATACATATGCACATTATATAAGGTGACATAGTACTTAATGTGCTGTATATATTATGTAAATTACATATTTGTGAGTAATCATGATAAATATAGAGACCCACTAATCACTTTTTTACACATACTCAGTGACAGATTAGGAAGTTACTTTGCCAGAGAGTCTTAAAACTTACTCTCTCCTGCTGCTTTGGTTCCAGCTCCTGCCAAAAATAATTGCATCAACTTTTCCCATCTCTAGCCCCCTCTCCTCTTGGCCAAAACCCTCAGTTACCTCCTATCCCAGCTAGGCTGTACCTTCTGTGGAACTACCACAATTGGGATCCATAAAAATAGAATCTTGGGGATAGGAAGGATCTAGACTCCCAGGTTCCTGCTGTCACAAGCCTAAACCTCAACACTTCCAGGGAGGTGGGTGCCTAATGCTAATGTTAGAAGATGGAGGGGGGGAGGGGAGGAGGAAAAGGCTACAAACCCTCCAACCGTCCAAGGAAGGAAACTTCATGGTGTTCTTGGCCACCAGTTCCAGGATCCAACAATAATCAATCAGGAAGTTATTTCAAATGTCTACGTCCCCGCAACATATCTCAAACTATAATTTCCTAAAATGTGTTTCACAAAATGCAAGTATCCATAAAATGCTCCATGAAAAAAGAGTTCTGTGGTTGAGATCCCCTTCTAGGCAATATACAGAGAGGCCTGATTTGAAGAACTCATGGTAAAGAACCATAGAAGCCTTAATTTTTCTGTCAACAACTATAGATTAGAAACACAGCCTGAAGCCCATCATTTCTTCTTCTTTTTTTTTCTGAGGAAGGTTAGCCCTGAGCTAACATCCACCACCAATCCTACTCTCTTTTTGCTGAGGAAGACTGGCCCTGAGCTAACATCCATGCCCATCTTCCTCTATTTTATATGTGGTATGCCTGCCACAGCATGACTTGTCAAGCAGTGGACAGGTCCATGCCTGGGATACAAACTGCCGAAGTGGAGCGTGTGAACTTAACCACTACAGCACCAGGCTGGCCCCAACCATTTCTTCTTTTTGTCCTCAGTGGAGATGGAAACATGCAAGTAACCATCCCCTCCAATAATATTCCAAAAAAGTATTTTTATAGGACAAGGAGTTTCCATTCTTAAGATATTCTTTCTAATTTGCTTTATGTGATTGTTTAACTACTTGCATTGTTCCCCTCTACATCTCTTCAAGCAAGAATCAAAGATCTGGACTCCTTGTCCCCTGAGTGAGGAAGGGATTGGGGAAAAATTAAGGGGAAAACATGATAGCTGCCAGAGGTCAGACTTCATTTATGGAGCTCCAGAGAACAGAACCAGGTCAATTATTATTCAATTTAATGTCTGCTCTTAGAGCTGGCCTAATATAGAAAGAGCTGCCTTGTTGGGGAATGAACAGCCTTCTGCTCTTACAGGAAAAGCCCTGACCTGGTTTGGTGGGGAACGAGCAGTGTTTGATCTACCTTGTCCAAAAAACTGTCAAGACCGTTTTTCTAGGCACCAATGTGAAATCAATAGGTCTATTACTTCCTTTTGAACAGTATACCTGAGTGTCCCTTGTTTTCTGAAGAAATGAAAAAATGACTCCCAGAGAGATTTCTGAATCAGTGGGTACTGACCAGTGGGTACACATGGCAGGATTGACAAAACTCATTGGCACCCTCAAGGTCAGCTAGTGGTGGTGATCTCTCCTTGGTAGCTCTGAGAGTTAAAGGAATGAGTTACAGTGTTAAGACCAAAAGAGATTTTGCATTTCTATTGAGGTCCATATTAGCACTTTGGAATTCTTCTCCTAGTCACAAATACCAGACCTGCATCCGACTTGCAAAGACAATGAAAAAGAAACTATGCCACATCTCAAATATCAATCAAGTTTTAGATAAAATAAGAGAGCAAAATTGTGTAGAATTTTACATGGGGCCATTGTTTTAGCCCACTTTGATGGCCCACCATATTGGAGTGACTTCATATTGGAATGACTTCAACCTTCTACTATAAAGAGAAAACAGGAAAAGGAGATAGGAAAGGGAATTCCCATTTATTGCTTACTGGGTGCAAGGCACTGAGTCAAGGTCTTTTCATGTACTATCCCACTTAATCCTCAGAACAGCCTATGATATGGGTGTTGTGCTTATTTCACAGATAAAGGAATTAGTGCATAGAAAGGTGAAGTACCTTGTCCAAAATCAAACACATGGCAAGTGGTAGAGCTAGGACTTGACGTGGGTCTGCCTCACATCAAAATTTATGCTTTTTCTACCATATTTTAGTGCCTTTAACATTCTTATATAACTACTTCCAACCTTACTCTCATCCTGGGTAAGACCACACAGTATTGACAAATTGATCTCCTATCTGGTCAACCTCTGTATAGCCATCTAATCACGTTCCTACTGAAGAACTTCCAGGGCCTGTTCAAATTTAAACTCAACAGCCTCCATGGACAGCCGGAACCGAAAACCTCACCCTTGCAATCAAATTGGCAGCCATCCCCTAATCCTCAACCTTTCAAATTCTAGCTGAATGGGACTCTTTTCCCCAGGCCTACCTAGTGGATTTTCTATTCAACTCTATGAGTGGGAGAGCCACAAGCAGCCTTCTCAGACTTAAATGCCATGGTCAACAAGTGACTGGCCTGCTCAGGGAAGGAGGGCTAGGGTTGTTGCAGGGAGCCTCCAGCAAGAAGGCTCTGCATGTGATCCTCATTAGTGATAAGCGTGGGCTGGGCCATCTGTGTTCCACAGGAGAACAGAATGGCAGGCTGCCTTTCAGATGCCAAGAGATGCTATCTAATGGGAAGATCCAGAGAGCTCAAAAAGCAGAGAGGCATCTTTTCTCATGGGCATCTCTGTGGGAAGCCAGGGACACAGAAAACCAAGGGGTTTTGGAAATTAGCTGCTTACCTTGCTGGGCATTCCACCCTTGCCACCATTTCCTTCCTCATGTCCGTGGTGCAGGACTGCAAGCAGAGCCCTGCAGCCTCATCTGCTAACTAAACTCCCTTAAATAAAGTCCACAATGAACCTGTGTTATCCTGAAATCTGTGGATGCAATGGCAGGTGCATTATAGCAAGGCACTAGAGTGCAATTAAGCCTCCCAGTCTCCCACGGGTCAGGAAACACTGCAGATAGAAGAGACCATTTAATTAGATGCTCAAGGCAGATTCTAGAGAAATAATCAGAAAACATGGAGAGCTACTCTCAATGAGTCAAATTAGGAAAACACAATTTGGAAGCAAAGAGAATAACATCTAACCCAGGATCAAGCATGTAGTAGGTAGTAAGTAAATATTTGTTAAATGAATGAATAGCTAAAGTTGGTATCTGTCTTTCTACCCTGGAATGGGGAGGGGGAGGGGGGTAGAGGCGATGAAAGCTTTTTAACTAACAACTCAGGAACTCGAAACCACAGGATGTAGAGGGAGCTCATCGAGGCCTTTAACTACCCAGACATCTGTTGAGTGATGGATACAGCTAAATATGGATCATCAAAGGGCTTTCTAGGTCACATGGAGGGCAGCTTCATGATTCAGAAAATATGAAATTCAACTTGGACAGAAGGACAGAAATGTTTTCAATCTACTTCTTAAAGATAAGGTCGGGATTGACCAAGAATAAAAAGGCAGCACAGAAGTGGAGTTACAGCACAGTAAGAGACCAGCATAATAAGATACAGATTAATGAGATGAAAAGAGAGAGAAAATTGGATCTTTTAGAAGATTTATTTGAGCAAGGCCAGATGAGTGTGAACACTACAGTCGTCCAAAAATGGAAGAAAGGACTGAGAAATCCTTTGTTTAAAAAAGCTTAAAGTTGAGTTAATGGTAAAATGGAAATATCCAGGTATTGATAGAATTGTTGTTAAATAACAACTATCATTCATTGTTTAGTCCAAAGCCTATTATTTTGACCACTTTTAAACTTCACGAGAACCTTATGAAGTTGGCGCTGTATGGTTCCCGTTTGACAAATGAAGACAGAGCAAATCTCATGGCGGCAGATCCAGGATTCTGGTCTGTCAGTATCCGCCTTCAAAGCCCGTGTCCGTGCCTGCAATGCCTTCACTGAGTCCTCTGAGCTTCAAGCATGGTGACAGGGATTTTCTCCCCCCAAAGCAATACCCTGGGCATGACTTAATTCCTTCTCAAACTGGAAATCCATGTCCCCCTCCTCCCTCTTCCACCGAGCCGGAGTGGGAAACAGCATTCATTTGCCGGGGAGCAGATCTGGGCAGCAGAAAGTCCACATACACCTTACCCGCCTCCCTTATTGTTAGATTCTTTCTCCAAGGCACCAGCCATCTCCTAAGACACTACCCAGGGAACAGCCAGCCAACAATGAACACCTGGTGAAGGACTCAAGAGGTCAGGGGATTCACACAATATTAAAGATCATATTAAAAGATACACAGAGACCATATTAAAGATCAGGTTCAACTGAAGTGAGCTCAGGTAGTCAAACATCAGAATTTAGTAATTGATATCTAAAGGTGGAACAGAGAGTCGAAGTATCCTTTTAAAAAATCTGTTGAGTGAAACATAATTTGGGGTAAAAACACTGCTTCTAGAATGATGGGAAAAAATTGAACTTTTTCCTTTCCAAAAAAAAGAAAAATCCTTTTTCAAATGGAATCTTAGCAAGAATTACAAGGTGAGGGATAATAAAGTGGAAATTTATTTTTGCCTTTAGACAATATGAAAGGAGATGAATTTATAAACCCCACAATATACGTGGCAATCTAGAAGAAGATTCCAGAAAGTCTGCATTTTCTATTGAGGGATTAAACAACAGTACTTTCAAAGTAGCTAATGAACTTATTTTTTTTTTGAAGATTTTATTTTTTCCTTTTTCTCCCCAAAGCTCCCCGATACATAGTTGTATAGTCTTCGTTGTGGGTCCTTCTAGTTGTGGCATGTGGGACGCTGCCTCAGCGTGGTTTGCTGAGCAGTGCCATGTCCGCGCCCAAGATTCAAACCAACGAAACACTGGGCCGCCTGCAGCGGAGCGCGCAAACTTAACCACTCAGCCACAGGGCCAGCCCCAATGAACTTATTTTTTTATCTTTTTGTTTTTTTTAAGAAAACTGGTACCAGTTGGTTACCAGAAAATGGCATGATCTTTAAGAAAAGACAAATTTTCCTGGTAAATATTTCCTCTCTCCCTAATATCCTTGAAGTAAAAGGATTGAGAACTAGATCTTTTAACTCAGAGAAACAGAGGAGCATGGGGGGTGTCAATAATAGAGGATGTCATTGAACTACTGTTTGGGATTTGCTATCATCATACTCTGCTACCACTAGGCATTAAGGTAATGATAATAAACCCAAGAGGATTAAGCAACTCCCACCTCCAATCTTCTCCCTGTCAGCCTCCTGAAGCTCCCCCACCCTCCTCCAGGTTAAATATACTTCCTGGAATTAGAACGTCTGGGAATAATTTCTTTTTATTATGAAAATTGTCAAACATACAGAAGAGTAGAGCCATGAGTCTAATGAGAACCCATATACCCATCACTTTGATTCAACAATTATCATTTTGCCGTATTTGTTTCATCTTTTTTTCCCTTGAAATATTTTAAAGTAAATTATAGATGTCATGACATCTCACACCAAAATACTTAGGCATACATCATTATGGTGGATCCTTTCTTAAACGTTAAAGGTTGTGGGTATCATCCACTTGCTGGAGGAAGATTTTGGGGTGTTGTGCATATGAGGTCAGTCATTTCTCAACAGACTGAATCCACTTTTCACAAATAGAAGTTAATCAGGACATCACTCTAACACTTAAGAGGAGAAAGTTTTGGGTTGAACCCAGGGAAGGTCTTAGCTGTATTCAAAACATTCCTGATTGATCTGGAAAGAGGAAGGTAAACAGCACATTAACGAAATTCTCAAAAGACAGAAAATGGGGAAGTATTATAAGCACTAATGATGCCAGAGAGAAAGTGCAAAGCACTTGGAGGAGTCAGAAATTTACCTGAACAATGCATGTTTTATTTTTGAAATAAAAATGTTTAACGCATTAGTAGTTACAGAAAGGCTGGACATGGTATTATTTTGGACAGGTAAAACATCGTCTCCGCAGATTCATTTGATCGTACAAAAACCAGTTACAATTACCGCCCCCACAATGTGACGACTGTGAAGCCAACTGAGGGAGAGGGGCAGGCTGCTGAGATGTACAGACAGATCCTCCTGCTCCACTGGGGCTCAACTGAACTGGAAGTATGTCAACCCCCGAGAGAATGTCTGGGGAGCCTGGTTGAGACGTGTTGGCTCACTTATGCAGGCTGAGGTATCATTTGCAACAGGCAAAGTGCAAGAGAAGCAGGTATCATTCCCTTGCTCAGCTGCTGGGGTCAGGGCGGGCTGACTGCAGATGTTCTGGACAAGATGGTGGACAAGGTGGTTGGTTAGTGTGCTTGCCAAAGTCTGCTGGCTCAGTGATTCTGCCAAACAAAAGGGAAGCAGGTAAAATGAGTGGCAGAAGTTTCCAGAATATTGAGCCTGTCTCAGTCAATAAATGAAATGAATTTCCTATTCAAGAACAGCCTAGGTGGTGGCAACAACTGGAAACCAAGGCCTGATGCTCAAGCAAGGCCTAATTCCCAGCCTGTAGCTGATGGACCTAACTGAGCACACATCTGGCTTCCCACACGTCAGGAGGGCAAGCTCTCTTATCCATGCCACCGGTGCATATCTGCATACCTGTGACTCGCTAACCCCTTCCCCCACACCATGGGGCTGATAAGACCAAGCATCACCTTTTCCTGTCCTGACATTGCTGCTGTGAGGAATGGAAGGCTATGTCAACTGACATGGAAATGAAAATTGTCTTCATCATCCTCAGAGTGGGAACATGTTTTCTTCCCAGAGCGCCCCCTCTTTGGAAGAACACAGTCTCTTCTGAGCTCCCTCCTCCAGCCTAACCCCTGGCCCTGAAGCCCAGGATCCGCTGACAGGCGTGAAAACATATGAGCTCACTGCAGCTTATGTAAGAGCTCTTGGCAGGCCTTCCCGGGAGCACACTTGTGTCTGCCTTGTCTAGGCAATGTGATTTGCCTTTTCTCTATCTCCTCGGAACTCTTGATGAGTCCTTTGTCACAGGGAGGAGGAAGCACGGTGTTCCCTCCTATTTCCAGTGATTAAAATCACACAGTTTCCTGAGGGGGGAAATAAGTATTCAAAAGACAACCTTCACTTCATATGCTAAGTCCCCTTCATGGTGGCACTGCCCCTTTGCCCGGTTCTTTTCCTTGATGAGGCCACAGTACTTTGTTCTCCAAGGCAGGTCAGGTGCCTTGGATCCTGCCTCCCATTGACTTGGTGAGAACTCCCACTCTTTCCTAGACTCCTTTATCTTGAGGGAGGACAGAAATTTTGGGGAACTGCACTCGAGAAATTTGAAGAGAAGTGAGGAGACAGAGAAAGCAAGGGAAGGCCATGAGCCGATCTTCAAATTCAGGGGCTGTTTTACATGGCTCCCAAGAGGACAAGGGAAGATTTTAGGTCAGGATTTGGTTCTCCTCCTGCTGTTGAGGAAAGGAAAGGGAGTGGGAGGACCTGGGAGGCCCTTTGCAGGGATGTGCTCCACACTGCTGCCTCAGTTACTCCAAGCCTGGGCAGCTCGAGGCAGTCCCAGAGAAGACAGGGGATCTCAGCCTGTGCCTGTTTGTGTTCTCCTTCCTGAACATGACAGGCCACCACCCAAGGGCTCCTCCTACCCACAGAGCATCAGCTCCAGAAATGCGCTCTTCTCCCTCTGCGCAGCATTGCACTGCTTCTCTCGTGGGGCCAACTCTACTTCCCACGTTATAATTCCCATATTATATCTCAGTTTGCCCCCATGTGAAATCGGGCTGGAAAGAACAATTAATACCTTTGTTCATTTACTCATCAATAAATATTTTGTTATTAAATGACGTCTATTTGCCAGGCACCACACCCTAACCTCTCATCATGGCTCAATGCGGGTCTCTTACTTTTCCTCCATCTTTTCCCATCACATTCTGCTTTTCTCAACCTCCACTCACACCCTCTGCCTGCTTCTGCCACTTTTTCTTCTTTCTTTTATCCTCATGATGTTTCTCTTCATTCTCCACCCCCCCCCCATGATTCTATTTTTAGAGTGTTCATACATAAAATCAGAGGATCAGAGGAATCTGAGGGGGTATCTTCTTAAGGGGATACACCTTGTTATCTCCAGGCAAGTCTGTGCTTAAAAGGCCCAGGAAAGATCAGAGGACATAGTCCAGAGCCCAGTTTCAGGATATATTTCAGAATCTCACAACTGCTCCCATCAAGATATCGTCCTCAATGTCTAATTTAAATTCCTCTGTTCAATACTACGCTCCTTTTTCTCCTTACCTTTTGGGTCACATCTCAGGCATAAAGCACCTTTGTGGGTACAGAACTGTTGGGAGGTTTAACCCAAAACAACAAGGGTGAACATCCAGACCATAAGGGTATTAGTTTCAGTGTAAAAACAACCGAATCAGGAACAAAGAAGGGACTAGAGGCCATGGCATTAAGAGGGTTTGGCTTCTGTAAGATCAATGAAAACAAAACAAACAAATCAAAACCCACAAGCATAACCCCATGGGAGTCACAATTTCTAATAGATTATCTCAAGGAACATGAAAATTCCATTGGGAGGGAGTTCTGGAATCATAGACCCTCTTGTCAGAAAGGCCCTTCTTTAGATGTTTCATGACTAGTTGGCAGCCAGCGTAGCATAACGTCTGTGCTCTGCTGGGTGTAGTTGAATAACGAATGGTGGCCATTCAGCATTGGTTCCTATGTCACCATATGCAGAATTCCTCTGCAAAGCCATTTTCCAGGCCCCTGCGTAGAGGGAAAGTCAGGTCTACATGTGGACAGGGCCTGATGCTCCAGATGTTGCCCCTTTTGATTTGTGAGAATCTGCCAAGGTAGCCTACAGTCTTGATAGAGGCAGTGTGGTCTAGTGGGTAGGTTGCCTGACAAGGAGGCAGATTTCAAAACCTGCAGCATTTTCTTTCTGTATTTCTTTCTTCTCCAGATGGAAAGAAGCAAGAGACCCAACTAAAGAGAATAGGGTCCTACAGAAAGTTGCTGACCCAGTTTCTAGCACAGCTACCCTCTTCCATAGAACGAGAAGTAACCATTTGTGCCTCTCTGTATCATCATCCTCAATGCTCGGTAGATATCTTAGAGAAAGTGTTATTGTAAACAAGTAATCATAATTCCAAGAAGCCACCTTTTAAGGGGGTTCTGATGGATGCTTTTTTCTCTCTGCAGAAAACAAGTGAGACCTTTCTATCTTGGAAAAGTCTGGCAAATGTTCCAGAGAAGCTGCTGTGGAAGGGAACTGTTCCATGTCCCATGATGGTGTGAGGGATGAAACCCTGCCTGGGAGACAAGGGCAACACACGGAGTGGCCTACAGTCCTGTCTCAGCTACGCGGCCTTGGACATGGCCTTCAGCCTTCTGGGGCCACTCTTTCTCCATCTATCAAACAAGGGGGCTCCAAAGACTTTCACTCTTCAACAATCTTGCCTTCACCTGGGATAGATGCTATGGCCATAGGAGAGAGGGCAAGGTCCTTGTTCTTGTGGATCTTCCACCAGGCCCAAGCCTTGCCCCAGCACTGCTGACCCTGGAGGGCTACTCCCAGCCCCTCAGCCAAGAATCTACCTTCCTTCCCTCTTGAGGATTGATCAGGCTCAGAAATCATCTGATGTGGGGGGCCAACATGAAAAAAACACTACAAGGAAACTCTTGGATAAGCCTTCCACCTACACACACACATATACACACACACACATACTCAATCCATGAAGTGCGAGCATTTTCCCTTCTGTGTATCAAACCCACTTTACCCTTTCTCACTGCCAGCGTGTTAGGAGAGAATTCAGTTCTACCTATGGAAAAGCACTGCTTCCTCTTAGGGAACTTAGCTAAACCTCAGGGTTCGGGGGTGAGGCTAAAGGTCCTAACACACTTCAACTGTGGCCCATTAATGCAGATCACCAGCCGAGACTGAGGCAGGAACTAGTTAGCACAGTGCCAGGGTCTAGATCCTTCCCCTGCTCCTCCACCCCCACTGCCTCCCCGCCTCTAGATCTGTTGTTCTTTAATGGGGGCTGCCTGCTCAAGCCTGCCTGTCTGCCTGCACAGAGTGCTGTGGATTTGTTCTGTAATGTACCGTGTGTATGTATGTCCTGATTCTGGTTTACTGCAAATAAAAATGACAGCAAATGGCTGACTTCTGACCTCCTAATGGTTTCTTTTCACGCCATTGCTTGAGAAATCCAGATTGTCTGATCAGCCACAGAGTGCTGGAGATGTGCGTGCTCCTCTAGACTATTCCGTAGCCTTGCCACAGTTGCCCACTGCCAGGGAGCTTCCACTGATACGCCAGGACTGGGACGAATTGAAACTCTCTGTTGCCACTTTCCTGGTATTGAAGGAGGGGGAGAGGAAGCCAAAACTCCTATTACATAAGCCCCTGCTAAACATTTTATATATATCATCTCATTGACATCTGAAAACTCCCCTATGAAGTGGTTAGCATTTTATAGATGAGGAAACAAAGGCTCAGAAATGATAATTAACTTGCTCAACAAGTAACCTAAGTAAGTCAGTTCTGTCTCTCTCATACCTCAACAATCATACCCTCTCCTCTCAACTAATGTTCCTCCAAGTGTGGCCAGTGGACTGCTTACATCAGAAACACCTGAGGTCCAGATTTCTGGGTCCCACTCAGACCTCCTGAATCATGATCTCTGAGAGTGAGACCCTAAAATTTACTATTTTGTAATCCGGGACTGTAGATAGATCCTTGCGCCCGTGAAAGTTTGAGAACCCCTACACCACACCCTGCTGGCAGGCAGGACCACTCCAGGAGGACAGGGACAAGCCAAGGCTTTAGAATAACTCAGAAACGGAAACCTATAGACAAGCATCCTTATAGACTATTGACATCTGAAAACTCATCTCTTCAGAAGAGATCTGGAGAAGAAGCAGGTCTGGCATAAAAGTGCAAATGGACTTCACATCAGAGATGGTTGGCCCTTCTCCCCAGAATTTAGACCCCAAGAATAAGTCCATCAGATGGTCTCCAGGCTGAGGTTGTCCTGAACCAAGGGTTCAAGGTCACACCTGGGTAGGGCTAGGCAAGGGAGCAGGGGCTCAACACAACAGGCTTGGGGCCCGGGGCCTGTAATGGGGCTGAGCCTCCGAGGAAGACGTGATGAATGCCTTCTTTGCAGCTGCTTGCGGGCTCCCGCTGCTTTTTCAACCCCCACCTCCCTGCCCAGCCTGGCCTGACTGGCCAGTCTCCAGGCTTTGAAGAGCCACTGCTGTTGTAGCTCCAGGCTCTTCCTGCCACAACTGACCAACAAGGTTCTAAAAGCCTTGGAACTCACGCCCTGAATCCTCAGTCTTCTCCATGTTCCTGCTGTCATCCTCAGGGCCGGGCAAGGACTCAGGCCTCAGGGAACCTAACCCAAATGTTACTCACTCCTACCCATTCCCTCCCTCTTCCACCTAGATCTACTGAGTTCTATTTTGTGCCTCAGAGTCTAGGTGGAGGTTTCTGAAATGATGGCTGGGATGTTTGAGCTGGGGCACTGTGAGACGGATGCATAATTGCTACTCGGGGGCAGAACAAAATACTGGAAATAGCTCAGCTGCCCGCTCAACTGGGGAGACCCAACCATCCTCTCACCCTCCCAGCTGCAACTCTGTGTGAAAAATATTTTCCTCAAGAAAATGGCTTTTCTGGAGTCAAGAAATCAAGAAAACAACTCCTGTGCAGAATTTGATATAATGAAATCAGCAAAACATTTGAATTATGAATCTGGAAAGTAGTTTATGATCTAGAACTCTAATGGTGAAAATTTTCTTGAATCTCTGTAGCTAACAAAAGAATTGTGTAAACAAGGAAAATGCTGGTCCATTCAAGAACAAAGGCCTTTGGCAGTTGTGTTTGCATTTTAAACAGCAGCAAAGAATAACCCATTTGCTGTGGCATTTACAAGATTTTCGAACACATATGACCGTGTTCTTACTCCTTCCCCCACTTAACAGGTTACAGTGTGCCTTTAAAAGTAACAAAACTGCCTTTGTTTTTCAATGTCTTTCCCTCCCACTTTCCATTAAATGAGACTATCAATTATTACAGAAATATTTCTCAACCTAAAGTCCTAAAGCCATTCACAGAGGGAGCAGACAAGTCAAGGGCAGCAAAAATGGCTATGCAAGTAGATTAGAAAGAAAGATCAGAGAGAATGCGAGATAATGGTGGTCTCAGAACTGAAGGGATAACAGAGAGCAAGCACTTGGCCCAACCTCTCAGCCCAGAGCAAGACTCCCCAGTACAGCAGCTGTGCCACGGGCAGCCCCCTCTGCTTGAAGACTTCTGTGGATGGGCAGACCACTACCCTCCCAGGATGCCCATTTGGGAGCAGTTCTCTGAGCCTTAAATAGGTTCCCATTGCACCCACATCTGCCTCCCATTACCTCCCATCACTGGGCCCTGGCTTGGCCGCTAGCAACACAAAATCCATCTCACCTTTCTCCTGCAGAACAGCTTTCAGATAGCTGGAAACAGCCACCTCATCCTAGCTAAGTCTTTATTTTTTTTTTCCCTCCAGACTAAACATCCTCTAAATCCTTAAATCAGCCCTTATATGTCATGACTCTCAGACCCTAAGCTATTCTTGCAACTTTCTCTGGAACAACAACAACCACCAAGGCCCCTCTTAAAATGCGATTCTCAGAACTGAGTACAGCACAGCGCCCCAGACACGGGTGGGCAAGCGCACAGCCACATCCCTCCTGCTGGATGCCACTCTAGCTTTCCCTGGCAACTGGATCACCCTGCTAATTCGGCCTTCTCTCACAGCCAATATCTCCCAGCCTCTAAAGAATGCTAATACCTACCATTGGTATGGTGCTTTGCAGATTACAAAGTCCTCTCAGAAACGTGGTCTCATTTACTCCTCACAACAACCCAGTGAGGTTGATTAAAGATGAGGAAGCTAAGGTTTTTCCAAGGCCACATAGCCAGGCCTCAAGCCCTGAGCCTGTGATTCCAAATCCATGCTCCTCCAAACACACCTGTGTTGTCTTTTCATTTGAACTTGTTAAGGCCAAAAAGGCTCCCTGGCTTCATTTGTTAGTGTTTATTCCAAATCTTTTTTTTTTTCTGTTCCATTTTGTCTTGTTAATTTCTGCCCATCCTTTAACCTGTCTAGATCTTTTTGACTCCTATTTTAGCCGCCTCTTCCATTAAAGGGAAGACACTGGCTCAGAGACAGAAGGCAACAGGCAATGTGGTGTGGGAAATGCATGTTGAATAGGGGGATCAGGAGATGGGTTCCAGGCCCCATCCACCTTGGCTGACTGTGTTACCCTAGGCAAGACCCTTAGCCTCTCAGAGCCTCATTTTCTGAGGAGGGGGCATCTGTGTAGATTGCCCAGCCAATTCCCAAGACCTTTCCCAGTTTTATGAATCGAATAGGAAGAAAAGACCTTATCATTAATCAGATGGTTCCTCTTCTCTTTTAATCTAATGAGATATTGAACATGAGACTTCACTCAAAATATTTCACACGACTTTCTTTTGCTAAAATAAAGAAAAGCAAATATGGCCATGGCAATAAGCAACATTTATTTCATCTGATTGCCAGCCCTGGTTTTGGGGGGAGGAGGGGCAGAAAGGATTATAATGGCTATCTCTCAAGATGTAGGACCCAAAGACTAAGGAATCCTCAAGGGGGCTGAACAGGAACCTCTGCAGCTGTCACCTGACACTCTCTCCACATTACCAGGGGACCAAAGACCCCACAATAAAGATCCCCCTCTACAGTGGCCACTTAAATGATGTGGGAAGGGAGAGAAACTCCTACTTATTAAGCATCTCTGTGTGCCTTCCTAGGAAAGTCACATGATAAATGTTCTTGGATCATTGCACTAAGATAAGAAAAATCATCCCATCTTTTTATTCTTCTAGAGTGGAGCTATTCAATAGAAATATAATGTGAGCCACGTTTGTAAGCTTAAATTTTCTAGTAACCACATAAGAAGAGTAAAAAGGAACAAGTGAAATTAACTTTAACAAAATATGTTATTTAACTCAACATATCCCAAATATTATCATTTCAACAAGTAATCCATATAAAAACTATTAATGAGATACTTAACATTTTTCTTTGTACTAAGCCTTCAAAATCCAGTATTTGTTTTACAGTAACAACACTAGCCTGGGGTCAGCGGCTCCTGTACTGGACCAAGAAGCTCCTTCGTGGTGCTTCCCCTTCTTAGCACTTCTCAAACTACATTGCAACGGCCTGTTTCACTGTCTGCATCATAACTTCAGACTGGAGCTCTGAGAGGGCAGGGATTATGGCGTTAACTGGTACTTCCCCAGCTCCCAGCTCAGTGCTGGACGTGGATATAATGGGCCCTTGATGAGCATTTGCCAAGGAAGCGAGGAAGGGAAGAATACAAGCTTGCACACCTGACCAGAACAGGGAGGAGCTTGGGTGTGAACCTATGTCTACCTGACGATGAGACCCATCATCGCTTCACCATATCATGCTGCTGACAGGAAGCATTATGAAAAGAGCACGGCCTTTAGTGCCAAACAGACTTGGGTTCAACTTTCAGCTAGGTGATAGAAATGGAGAACTCAGCACAGACGTTGCTAGAGTGATTTTATGCCATTTCCTCATCTGTAAAAAGGGGATGGTAAGACCTACCTCCCAGGTAACTATGAAGATGGCACATATCTTGCAAACATTAGACTTTAACATAAATGTTAGTTTCCTTTCCTTGTCTAATAAAATGGAAATAAATCATTCTTATCTGGCCAAGGTTTAATTATGCAGTAGCTTTGACCCTATCTAGAGAGGCGAAAGTAATGAGAAGCGAATCAAAATTTGAGAAAGGGAGCCAGCTCCTACCATCTGCCTCCTTGTTTGTTCTTTAAAAAGCTCCACAAAATGCAGATCTAGCCAGGGCAGCCCGTGATCTGTGAGGGTGTGAGAGACGCACACTGCACTCTCTTTAGACCTTTGCCTCAGGGATTCTAGCATTTAAACCTCCTCTGCCCCAAGCCCAGGAGAACCCACCTTTGCTTTTCAAGAGCTCAGGAGGCTGGAAACTCTAAGAATCATTCCTGGTGCAGCAGCCCAGGTGGAGAAGGGGCCCAGGCAATGCTCAGAGGTTCAGTCATGAGGCCTAGGTCCTAGCCAGAGTTTGATCCTCAAGGAA